GCCACACTCATTTCCTCCGCGGTCACTCGGGACAGCCAGAAAGGCTGGCTCCTCTGGCATTCGGCAAAGGTCAGCCAGCCCCGGCACTCGCGGGCGGGCGGTGGATATGCGTTTACATTGCAGCCTGCTCTGCCGTTGCTGCTCTGCATTGGCTCTGCTTCCCTGCTCGCTCCTGGGAGCACCACAGTCAGACTTTGGGCGCTCAGGTGTATCTTTTGCCTCCCTGTCTTTTAGATAAACATGGTAGCTGCAAGCAGGGTTGTTTTCCAGCATCCAAGCAGTGACAGAGAGCAGGGAATATCATTAGGCTTTAACGAGGGATTCCAGGGAATCAGAAAGGAAAAATGGATTTTTCATACAGGGGAACAGATCGGTGCCTCTGGTCCCTGTAGGTGAAATAAGGATAACATCAGGTTTCCTGCCCTTTCATCAGGTTACGAGCTAGCCAGGGCACGTCTCCTGCGATGGGAGATGCTCCCATGGAGCCGTTTAAGTCCAGAGTCGGGGTTCCTCCTGCCCCAGCACCTGCAGGAGGATGCACCCCCATGGCTGGCCTAGGAGAGGTCAGACTGAAGGAGAAAGTTTAAAAATTTGCTCAGGTCGGTTTTGTCTTAAGTTTTTTTGGGGGGGGACTGAATTGTCCGTGCATGCAGGGCTCACCCTACGCACGCGCATCCTCTTGGGACCACGGTGCAGACATGCCCCGAGGAGCTGATCATTCTTCTTCTGGGCTTTTCAAGGAATTTCTGAGTTTTAGGTCTCTCGGTGGGTTGCTTCCTAGAGCTCACGTGATGGGGCAGAATCCTTCATGCTGGCAAATACTGCGAGACAGGTACAGCGAAGGCAGCGTATCCTATTCACTGTCATCTTTTCTCCAGCCTAGTCTTGGGCACTGAACATTTTTACGCCAACAGTTTGGCCAGGGCAAGAACATCCTCAGAAGTGGGCAGAGCATCTCCCCAGGTGGATGATGAGTCTGGGATTTCCCGGGACGTGGGCACAGCCCTGCCACCCTGCTTCCCGGAGAGCTGGGAAGCAGCCGCTCACCTCAACCCTCCGGTGCCTCAGTTTCCCTTGGGTTGTAGGGAGCTGCTAATCCATCCCAGCCTCCCAGGCATGCCGCGAGGCTAAATTCACTAACGCCCGCATGGTCTTCTTCGGATACTATGGCGATGGGGCGATGCGAGGACATAGACCGGCTGATTAGCATCGAGATGCGAAAGGTCCCTTAGACGTGAGCCTTTGGGCTTTCTGGTTTCGTTCCCCATCTCGGGGGCGAGCCAGATATAGAAATGGAGTCATGTGAAACAGAACAAAGTCTCTATTTCAGAGCTGGGCTTGAGCAAATTAAAATGTAGCATGTTCAAAAGCCAGCTTCCCTGGATGGCAGACAAAAATAATCAATTTCCTTGAAACAAATACTAAATATTAATGAGAGGTGATGGCCTGCCATGCACGCAGAGCTGTAAAGAGCATTTCCCGGTGATCAGCTGCGGAGGCAGGTTGCTGAGATGAAATTGCTTTTCGAATAGATATTTGTGGCCCTTCTCGAGGTGGCTCGGGAAGGTTTGCCTGCCCAAAAAAAGCAAAGAAAACTCAGAGCATTTCCATTTTGCATCAGGACAGCCACTGGGGATGCGTGCCAGTGCTTTCATTTTTGTTTACGCACTTGCCCGAGCGGTTGGGGAGATGGCTCGGTTCGGTTATGTAGAAATCAGCCCCGAATTTACGTAGAGGAGACAGCGATTCCCTGGGAATAACAGCCGGCTGCGCCTGCCCCCGATGAGCGCCGAAACGGCCTGCCAAAGGCAGAACATGGGACCCAAGAGCACTCCCCGGCTTTGCAGCCACATCCGCTCGTTGATTTATTTCAATAACAAGCATTGGGGGAAACATTAAAAAAATTACTTACAGCCCTCACCAAGTATCCTAAAGTGAAAGCAGAGGGCTGGGAGCTTTGGAAAAGGAGCCTTGAATTTTTCTATTGCTTTGACCCTTGGGTAAGTCAGGAAATGTTGTATTAACTCCGTTTCCAGACTCGGAGGTTGGAAGAAAAATAAAAATGCTCCCTTCCCTCCCTCACCGGGACGCACAGCCACGGCGTGGGGCTTTTCCCCCCTGATGCTGTGCTCGCCCGTGGGCAGCACGGTGCCAGCCTCGGCTGGGAGAGCAAACGGCACACCGGGAATAGCCACAGCCCTCCCCGGCAGGCCGCGGCCCACCCCGCCCTCCCCCGCCCCCCCCCCAGCCGTAGAGGATGCCAAAAGCATTTTGCATCCGTCATGCAGTAAATAATAACACGTCGGCTCATGATTTTATAAAACCGTTAAGCCAGCTGCGTAGCCACGGGTTGAACGAGAGCTAATATTAGCTAGAAATGACTAAAATTAGAAAATTAGAACCGAGCCAGAACTAATTAGCTGTTCAAGGAATAGAACCAGAACCGGAACAAATTAATTGTTGCTGAAATATCACCACGGGGCCTGGCGGGCACCGCCGCTTCCAGCCCCACGCAGGCTCCCGCTCTGCTTTGCTCAGGATGCCCCCCACGCGGGCTCGGAAAGGAGCCCGGGGTCCCATCTGAAGGATGTGACAGCTAAATAAAAGTTGGCGTCTCGGTCCCAGCCGGGGAATTAGCAGCAGCGTGATACAGCATGAGCTGGGCTGTGCTGGGAGCGATCCCAACGCAGCCGAGCCAGCTGCTGCCCGGAAGGGCTCGGAAACGCGTCCCCTCGCCCCACCGCGCTCCGTCGCTGCCCAGATGTGCCTTTCTAAAGGCAAGGGTAATTACGAGGCCGCCTCGACGGCTCCCGGCGCCGCACGGGCTCTCCCCTCTGATCCCAGCGGCACTGCCTTCTCTTTCAGCTTCAGCTCTGCCGCCAGCTGAGATGCTTTGCGAAGCTCTCAAAGCGAGCCAGGAGCTGCCATCCATGCAAACGCCGCCAGAATAATTTCCAGGGAATTAGGAAGTTGGTACAGATAACTGGCACATGGCTGCATTTTTCCATCTGTGACTCGATCACCTGTATGGTCACTTCTTTTTACTTTCCAAAGGTGGTAACTCACCCTGTATTTCTTTCTCCACACTCGCAGCACTCAAACAGCAGCTCCCATTTTAGCAGCAACATGACGCACAGTCTTTTAAATTCAATTTAGAATACAAACTATTTATACCAGCCAGAAAAAGGCAGTGAAGCAGCTCTTTCTGTCATGAGTGGATTTGTAATTTCAGAGCAATCATTGCATAACTAATTGAATCAGCTCTCAGCATGTGAAATCAGTGCCCTGCTTATCGAAGGTTTTCATCATTCTCCCCTGCTGAAGCCAGCAGTCCCCCTCCACCAGCAGCACCTTGTGCTTCTGCATCAGCCTGGGAAGAAAATGGGACCTGCAAAGCTGCCTTTTTCTGCTCAAATAGAGCCAACAAATGACCAAATACATTCAGAGTAGATGAATAGCTGGGTTGCAGGTGCCTCCCAAAAGCTGCCCAGGCTCCATGCAAGGGAGTGAAGTGCATTTGAAGCTAATGAAGTGCCAGCCGTGTCTGAGAAGCAAATTGGTGCTGAGATGTTCTGCTGACTCCCACCTCCTGCTTCATTGCCCAGGTGGGCTCTGCTTGGCTTGAATTTAGGATCTGATCCAAACCCCAGGCTTGGCGCCTGAAAATGGAGCCTAAAGGAGGCGATAAATATAGCGACAGCTTTCTGAGGGATACAGGAAAGGTAGAAAACAGGGTAGCTGTAAGGATTTTCATCAGCTTGGGAGTGAGGGTCCTGGATTTGGTGACCTGGGTGGATCCAGTCCTGCAGATTTTGGGAGCAGCTCCAGCCACCTGCGTGCAGCAGCCTCCCAGGGTGAGAGGGGCACCTCCTCAGCTGCGAGGCATTTTGGGCAGGGGCCCGTCAGCTTCTGGGGCTCTGCAGAACACGGAGCTTAAAACTGCAGCCAGAGAAAAGTGTGCTGTAAAGGATGCTAATGCCTCCCCAGAGATGCTGCCTGCCTGCCTGCCTGTGTGGGAGCAGCTCCAGCCACCTGCGTGCAGCAGCCTCCCAGGGTGAGAGGGGCACCTCCTCAGCTGCGAGGCATTTTGGGCAGGGGCCCGTCAGCTTCTGGGGCTCTGCAGAACACGGAGCTTAAAACTGCAGCCAGAGAAAAGTGTGCTGTAAAGGATGCTAATGCCTCCCCAGAGATGCTGCCTGCCTGCCTGCGTGTGTGCATGCATGCATGCATGTGTGTGAGCCCTGGGCTGTCACTGACGTGCTGTATGGGTTGCGTTGAGACAGCCGCGCTGGGATGGGTGAGGAGTGCAGGTGAGCCCTTAATGGCTACAATTGCTGAGTGCTAACAAAGGGCAGCTGGTTCAGCCTGTACAAGTGGAAGCAGTTCTCTGGGCCAAGCTGGCAGGTCTTAGCTGGGAGGGAGTTTGGGGGGGAGGAGGGAATGCTTGCAAACTTTTCTGGAAGTGAGCAGGGAGGGGTTGTTCCTGCCAGGTATGATCCCTACAGCTGGATGTAAGAGATGGTAGAGCCCAGAAAATGAGAGCTGGGTGTCCCTGTGGTCCATCCCCTACTCAGAGATCTGTTTTCTTTCTAGGAGAGCAATGCTAGGCTCCCTGGCAGGGGCCTGTTGGCTTTGGGGGTCTGGAGACAGCCTTAGCAATGCTTTCAGCCTTGTTGGAGGTATGTTGTCCAAGCCACATATTCCCCAAAGCTGATGTGTAGGGCTTTTTTTTCCATGAGCCAGTGCCTCAGCGCTGCTGGCTGGCCTGGTGAACGGGGCAATGCAAGCACTAGCAGGGGTTGGCATGGGTAGGAGAAGGAGCTTTCATCCCCAGGCTTGGTTTAAGCCACGTCCCATTAGTGGCCTCCGCTTGCTTCTCGCACAAAGCCATGCAGGTGGTGTGCGTCCCCGTGTGGGGCCGAGGCGGCGGGGCTCGCTCCTGGGGCAGCACGCGCCCCGGCACCCCCAACTACCCGCTTTGTTTTCTGTTGTCTCTTCAGGTAGCCAGATGGGAGCACAAAACGCGAGCGCTCAGCCGAGTCTTCGGCTCTCCACGTGCTGCCTGCTACTGCCTGGGCGCTGTTATCCTGATGCTTAACTGTGTGAGGAGCCATTGGTAAGGAGCTAACCGTACTGCTACGTATTGATGCAAAGAAATGCCCCTACGGGGTTGGGGGGTGAGGGATATTAGCTCTGCAGTGCTGGCTCCAGCCCCAGCGTATTGCTTTTATATGGTTGGATACCTTCAGCCAGCAGCAGATTTATTCCAGGATTTGTAATAAAGACGAGGGATGCGGTGGCGTGGCCAAAACCATCAGTGTCGACAGCCCTTGAGTGTCGCAGGTTTCCTTGCTCCGCTCTCTGGGGGCGGTTTCTGGTGCCCTGTGAGCAGCCCAGGTGACGGGGGGCTGTCTGCACAGGATGGATCATATGTAACAGCAGAATTTTTTTAATTTTCTCATAAAAATCATAAACAAAATTAAACCTGATTTTAAGAAGCTGCAGCTTCCTGTGTAGAAGAGCAGGATTATCTGTGCACTTAGCAAGCAGTCTCTTTAAACTCTTATCTGTGATCTTTTTAAATACCACCTGTGCTAGCTAATAGTATTGTATGACTGATGCACCGTACACCATGGGAATACGTCCTTTGACGTTCTGAGTGCAGCAGAGAGGTTTACTGCAGAAGATTTCCTCAATGCCAGCAATTTATCTGCGCTCTGCTAGGCTTTATCTTCAATGCTGTTAAGAGAGACAGACTCTCTTACTAAATTCCCAGATTCAATTGTGCCAGGGTCAGAGCTAATGGGTTGTTTAGTACTTTGGGTAATTTCCCAGGCGCAGAGATCTCAGGTTGGAATTTGCACATGTATTTAATAGCTTTGCTTCCTGGAAGTGACACCAAGACCTGCCCTTGCCCTTCTGCGTTTGTCCCAGCTACTGTCTATTGCAGAAACTGTAAGAAAGCTTGCAATGAATGGGGCTGTAATTGAATGCAGGCAATGCAGAGGGCATGTGTGTGTTCTGCTGATGTCTTAGTGACACAGCAGGCTTGGATTTCGCTGGGGAATGTCTCAGCAGTCTCTTGCACAAATGACATAGTCACTTGTTGTCTGGGAAGCAATGCAAAGCCTTGTGCCTGCCTTTAATTAAAAACACAGCTGATGGAGGGACAGTCTCTGTTCCCAGTGGTGCTGCTGGGTCAGCTGGCCTTGCTGGGTCACAGCGAGGCACTGATGGGGAACTGCTGGGAGAGCCAAAGAGACCTCATCTGTCCCAGCTTTCCCCCTGCAGACCTCTCAGTGCCCTACCAGGGTCAGCATCGCCGGCTGTGCTGGCTCTGCTCTGTGTCACGAGTTTGTGAGTGCTGTGGAGGGTGGCTGTGGGGATGGCTCTGCCTGCACAGCCCATGAGTTGGGTCCTGAAGGAGACGGCAAGGTCAACCCAGGAGGCTGGAAAAGCCCCACTTGGACCTTGGCTTTGGAGGAGGGTTCCTAGAAGGTGGGGCAGCTCACACCCAGCAGAACACGGATGAGACACCAGCCAACTGCGTTTGCCAGCCCATCTGATGGGCCAAGGCCATTTCAGGTGATTGCAATGTGAAGTTTATTTTGCCCACGTGTTTCAACATGATTGGGTTATTCCCTTGCCTTTCCTTGGCACTGAAGTTGGCCCGAGTGACAGTTAGCAGGCTTTGGAGGCTGTTGAAGCAAGGCAAGCCCTTAACTGTGGGCATGATGGGATGGTTTCAGGGTGGTCATCAGAGCAGCAACTGCTGGAGATGCCCTGAAACGCACCTGGGAGACTTGCTGCCTCCATTCCCAGCTCAGCGAGCTCTCCAGGGCTACCTGGGGCTTGTTGCTCAAGCCTGGAGAGGTTGTGCTCTTTGGGAAGGATTCATCCTGTCCATTGCTCTTGCATGAAGATATCAGCCAGCTCCAAACCCAGGGTTCAGCTGGCCAGAGCGGGGCTCACGGGTTGCATGACACAGGCGCTGTCATCTCAGTGGCCGGTGATGCCGGGAGGGAACGAGTCTCACCCGCTCTTGCTATTTCGCTTTTCCCTTTATTTTCTGAGTCGCTTCTACTCGAGCGCACCGATGAAAGCAGGTTTTCTGCTCCTCAGCCCTGCGGAGGCAGTCCAGCCGGCAAGGCGCAAACTGTGCCTCGCACTTCGGCTGCGCGCGGTGGTCGGGGTTGCTTGTGCAGAGCGTGTTGGCCGCTGATAGCGAGCGAAAAGGCAGCCTCGGGGGGTCCCTCCGCCCCCAGTGCTGTAATCCAGCCTTTAAAACTCCTCTCTCTGTGCTTTGGGGACTTTTTACGTGGGTGGGGGCTGCCAGGGAGCGATTGAGGAGCCCACGGGTTCTCTCTTGTTTTTAAAAACCTGCTTCCTTTTTGCAACTGAATTTTTTGAAAGGCTCCAAGCTGGGGATGGAGGAGGGGAGGACAGAGCAGACAGAAACTTTGCGAGCAGGTTGGCATCGTGGCTGAAAGTACCCGGGAGCTGGGCTGTGCGGCTGCTTTGCCTCCTACCCCACGCATGGGTCTCTGCCATGGTCCTGTCCTTGGTTCGGCGCCGTGATGCTCTCGTTCAAGCTTTGCTCTGAAGGGTGTAAGAAGAGGAATATCTTGTGCTCAATTAAGCAATTAGGTGCTTTCCAGCTCTGAGCTTCATTATCAGCCTTGGCTTGCTTCTGAGAAGCAATCCAGAATGACCTGTGACCGGCGGGGGGGGGGACCTGCTTAGTCAACTGCACAAGACAAGCATCCTTAATTGCTTTGGTGCAATGACTATTTTCATTACAGCTGTGTTCTTTCTGCAAGAAACAGGGAACTGCCATCACTGAGGCTCTTATCTGTGAAAACAATTCCTGAACTTCTGAACTATCTGCACTGCCTGTGCTACCCCAGCAGTTTATGACTGTTATCTGTGTGGCATGGGACGTGACAACCTTAACTGTCCTCCAGACCTACAGTCAGTGTCGCTCTCTCCTGCCTTACCACGTTGTTGATACCTTTCCCTGCATCAGCTCTACAATTAGCCGCTGGCGCTGCCTCCGAGCCCTCCTGTGCTCCCTTTTGCACACCCTGGCAAACTCCCCATCTTGGGGCAGGCGTGTGCCGGTGGTTTTGTACACAGGGAGCTTATGAACTTCCCACCTTAAGGGTCTCAGGGTGTTTTCCTGAGCTGTAAAGGCAACAGCCATGTGCACACCCTGAATTAGGGGGGTTTGCAGACGGGAGGCTCTCGGGGTGCCTGGGGCCGTGATGCCTCCAGTGGGAGCGAGCCCCGCAGAGGCTGAGCAAGGGCAGCGTCTTTGGCAACCTGCTCGGTGGGTACCACACTGCCAGCTGATGTGAAGTCCTTCATTGATGCCACTCGCTGGGCATTGCCTCCTGCATGGACGGGCTTCTCACTTGGAGCTGACGCTTCCAAGAAGATGAATCCACCCTGGGACGGGATTTTGCACAGGGAAGGGTTGTTTGTCACTGCCTGGTAGTGCCTCTTGGCTTTATGCTCAACGCTGTTTAATTTTGTGAGCTGGTACCATGAACGAGCATGGTATAAATGGTATCGATCCGAGAACCATGTGGCCTTTTGTGCAGAAGTGACCAAGTTTGATGATGGGAATCAAGCGTGGCTGGAAGGAGCCCGTGTCCCCTCCGAGCCACGCTGCCAGCAATCTCTGATGGCTGTCCGGGAAAAAGCCCCAGGTGGCCAATAGCACCTCGTGTCCCTGCTGGTGCGGCTGCCGGGCATCCGGATGAAGAAACCGGGCAGCTGAGATGTGAGGCGGGGGGGAGAAGCTGCTACAGCCCCCCTCACTGACCTAAATAACATGCACACCGGCGCTGGCAGAAAAGCAAAGTCATTATTGGCAAAAGAAGCTGTGAAGATGATGACTGGGCTAACAATTGGTGGTGGTATCGGCAGGACTATTTCAGCGTTGTTGGGGTTGCTTTTTTTCAAATGAACAAGATCTTTTGTTGCGGTGTGTGCTGCTGGGCACCACCAGATGGTTTTATCCCCGTTGCCTCCTTTTTGCCGAGAGGAACAAAACCTCAGGCACGGGGGATGGACCGACGTCCCGCATGGTGAGCACGGCACCTCGCAGCGGCGGCTGCTGCCTCTGAAACCCTGCACCACCGCTGCTTCCTTGCTGCCTGCCAGCCCCTGGCCCAATTCTGCCCCAATTGCGTTTGCCAGCCCCAGTTTCCAGGCTGATTTTTGGGATCAGGCAAAGGGAGCACTGCTGGACTGCTCCCAGCTGCTCCCAGCAGTGACCCAGTTTGCTGCATGAGGTCTTTGCCTTCCTTTACAGGAAAGGGATTACAAAATATGCTCGCTGTGGGCCACTGAGAGAGGCACAGAGATCTAAAAAGCTCAGCTTCTCTCTTAGTACAGTATTTCCAGGTTTGCTTTGTGCTCCATGCAGCCTTTGGGGATGTATTTTGGGCTGAGGGTTTGATAAATTTCTGGTGTTGCAATCACCGTTCTCCAGCTGAATAAATCAGCGCCTGTTTGTGCAAACCTGGCCCTGTGTTCCCTCTGCATCCCGGCAAGAGGAACCGCAGCCGATTTCTCTCGCTCCCACTTTCTTCCTGCGAGCCCACCTGCGTGACATCTCTGTCCCATGCTTCAGTACCATATTTTGAGTGTTTTTCCAGTTCATGTGGTTTGTTCATGTGGTTTATTATGTGGTAAACTAAAAGAGGGTAGATTCAGACTAGATCTAAGGAAGAAATGTTTTACGCTGAGGGTGGTAAAGCACTGGCACAGGTTGCCCAGAGAGGTGGTGGATGCCCCATCCCTGGAAACATTCCAGGTCAGGTTGGACGGGGCTCTGAGCAACCTGATCTAGTTGAAGCTGTCCCTGCCCACGGCAGGGGGGTTGGACTAGGTGACCTTTAAAGGTCCCTTCCAACCCAAACCATTCTATGATTCCCACAAAGCAGTGGCACACGCGCAGCAACAGCTGAGTGTCTGAGCAAGAGCGTCTCTGTTTTGGGAAGGGTGGGCAGAACGACGCCCGCTGCCTTGGCTTCCCCGTGCAAAACCCTGCGGCACGCTGTGGCAGTTGTGCAGCCTGACCGCAGCCGCCGTGGCTGCTTGCACCCTGCCAGGGACTGGCCAAATCTCCCAATTTGGCCAGAGTGGAGCTGATGGATTTGGGTTTTTCCCCGCTGGGGTGGAGAATGGGTGCCTCTGGTACCATGCTTCGCTCTGGAGGAAGTGGGGAGCAAGCATAGGGAGACGTTAGGGGAAGCCCCATTTTCCCAATTTCCATTTGCCAAAGCTGGGGGCACCTTCCAGGCCCCCCCCCCCTCCCAATGGCAGACATCCTCGTGATAGCAGCCGGGTATGTGATCAAAGCAGGTTGCAGCTCACCCACCCCTCCCCTGCACTGGTAAGAGGGATGCTCTGCACCATGGCAATCGCTCCGCTCGGCACACAAAGCATTTCCAGGTACTGGGACAAAACGTGGCTTTAATTGGTGTCCTCTGGGGTGCCGAGCTGGGCCGTTGCCTTGTCGTGCAGCCAGAAATAAATGCTGTAACAAATATGACTCAGAGGCACGTGGTGAAAGGGACTGGTTTCATGACAGATCGGCTGCATGACTAGCTCCCCCTTAGCAAGGGAGATGGCCAACACCTTGTCCTCCCCCTGCCAGGGAGGGTGAAACGTGGCGCGGTGAGGCTCCCCCGCCACCGAGGAGCAGTCACGGATGACAGAATAATTGACGACTCTGTGCTGCTTGTCATGGCCCAGCATCATAAATGCTTAAAAGGTTTATTTACCAATTCTGAAAACTCCTGTGCGCATCATGTTTAATGCAAATAGAGAGTGTGTTTAGGAAGATATGAAACATTACTAGAGGGAAAGGCAGTCCATTATCTCCGTGCAAACACCTCCCTCTCTAGCTGTAAGCCAAACAGCAGGGGACCGAGCAAGACATGCTGATGAGGGTAACTAATGCAGGCCTATCCGACCGTGAAAAGGAAGGATGGGATCATCTGGAGCAGGGGAGACAGCTTTGCCAAAACAAACCACGTCACGTGCTGGTTGCAAAACCTCGGAGGCTGATTCGCAGTCAACCAGTTCACGCTCTTGAAGATACCTTTGTTCTTCTCCTGCTCCAAGGCCAAGTCAGGTCACTAGCGTAGGACAGAGGAGCCTCGAGGGTGTAAGATAGCATGAATCCAGTTCATCTGGAGTGAGAAGCAGCCTCCGAGCGCTGTGCTCTTGCTGTACCTCTCTCTGCTCTCCTGTCTCTTTGCCGGGGGCTGGGATCCAGGCGGGGGCCAGCTCGGTGCTGCTTTCCCAGACCTGCCTCCCCAGAAATCGGCAGCAGTGTTTTTTGATTGCTGTGAGATCCCTTCCCGGTGCTGGTCCCCTGTGGAGAGGTCCTGGCCAGATGCAGAGCCAAACCCCCAGCACTGTGAAAAGGCATTAGCATCTTCCTCTGCGGGAGCAAAGAGCTCCGGAGCATCCCCGGGGGTGTCACATTGTGCCTTGAGGGCACGGCCAGGCCAGGATTGCTCAGGCGGATGGGCACATCCCCGCAGGTGGATTGTTTTCCTCCCAAACCCAGGCAGCGCTGATAGCAGGGATGCGGATTTGGGCTTCCTCATAGGGGAGACTTGTGTCATTTAAAAATAAATACCAGCGAAATGATGTAAAGGGTTGTGTGGCTGCTGCTGCTTCACGTTGCAGCCAGATTTGTGTGTCCCCATCAGTAACGATTTTAAGCTAAACCAACGTGAGCCTGGTGAGCGCAGGGAGGTGTGCTGGGCGCTGGAGGAGGGCCAGCCCCGGGGACGTGTGCCGTTACATCGCCCCGGGGCCATGCTGTCGTTCCTCTGCCTGTGCTCGGCTTCCTGGAAAAAGGAATTTCCCTGTAATTTCCAGCGTGGGGAGCAGAGTGTAAATCACCAAGATGCTGTGTTCTTGCTCACTCCCAAGCACATTACATTTATTCTATGTTTTGTTTCCTTGCTCCAGTCCAAAGCGAAGATTAAATGGCTTGCCCTGGGGTCCTAAAAACTCTCCGACAGTAGAAAACCTAGTAGGAACGAGCTCCAAGGAAAACAAAAAATATCATCCAGGTCCCTAAACCATGGGGTTTAAATATCATCCTGGACTTTGCTTGGTGCATGTAACTTGCCGTCTGGTCTTTGAGCCTTCAAAAGGTGCGTTTCCAGCCGCTTGTCCATCAGCCGGGCAGGCAGGATTGTCTCTCTCGGCTTTCATTTGGGCAACAGAGAAGATCCAGGGATTTGCAGGGCCTGGGGAAGCTGGACGTCGGGGGAAAAAAAACTATCCCAAGCCCTGCAGGTAACGTCATGGAAGTGCTTTCCAGCCGAGGAGCCCGGGAGCACAGGCAGGAGCAGCTTTCCTGGCCCAGCCCTGGCAGGCAGCGGTGGCCGGAGGCACAGGAGAGCTGTTATTCCACTTGAATTTCAGCCTCCAGGGTGCTCATTAAAAAAAGGCTCAAAGTTTCCTACCTCATGTGTCAGCAACATGTGGAGAAACACTGCGTACGGCTCTGCGGGTCTGTTATCTCCTCTCACTATTATTAATGGGCATTTTTTTAATCACGGTGTTGTCTCCTTTGTAGTCATACGTTTGTATCGGAGCCATCTGAGATGCTGAGCCTGCCAAGCCCTGCTCCGGGCAAAGTTCAGGGGGCTGAAGGGAGGGGTCACAATTATTCCACTCACAAATGAGTATTTGGAAGGTCAGACCTGAAATGCCTGAACAAGCCTGGAGCTGAGAAGCTGTGTTCGCACTTGAAAATGCGTGTCTCTAGTATTTTCCTTTCGCCATTCCAATCCTCCCCCTGACTGTCAGGCTTCAGCCGTGAATCACTCCTGGGCACGTGGCTAACACATGAACGCTGCAAAATATTTTGATGGAGAGGAATGGGGGTGGGAGCACGAGATAACCCAGCCGATTGCTCCCAGCCCTTCAAGTCCTGTGCCGAGGCATCGCAGCCTCCAGCGTTTGCAAGGGTGTCTTTCCCAGAGCTCCCAGTCACGATGAAACCTGGGGTTTGGCGAGCAAGGCAAAGCTTTTGATATTGCAGTTCGGTGGGGCTGGTATTTCCAGGAGTGAGCAAGGGTTGCAAGTCGAAATGGCTGCCCCAGGTCAAGCCCTGGCTGCTCGCAAGGCTTCAGCTCCTTGCTTCTCCCGTTGGGGGGTTGAGTAGGTCCAGGTAGAAAAAGGGACCCGGTGAAGGGTCCTCCTCAGCAGCATCCCCTCCCAAAGCTCCGCATCTCCCAGGAAGAGGTGGGTGATGTTAGTAACGAGTCGCCGCTTTTAACAGCCCTTGTCTCTCCAACAGCTTCACAGAAGCCATGAAGAGCCAGCCGAAGCTGGAGGGCTTGGACTGCCACTGGGCCTATTACTCGGGCTTGGCCATCTTGGCTGTAGGGACCTTGTTTGTCATCTCCAGCTTCTTAGCACTGGGATTCACCGGGACGTTCCTAGGTAAGCACTAAAAATTCAACAGCTTAACCAGAAAGTGCATTTAATCCTTGCAGGGGTCTTTTGCTAGGGCAGAGTCCTGTAAGAATTTCCTCGTCCTTGCCTTCAGGGCTGTTAGATTTGGTCTTGGCTTTATGATACCGAAGCGTGATCTAACCATGCCGTTACCTCGCACGGAGAAGATGGTGCAGTGGTTTTATACGGTGAGTCCCATCAGCTTCAGCGTCAGGCCTGAAATTTTGGAAAGCAGCTGATCATCTGACAGTCCGAATGCCCTCCAGGAAAGGGACCCCAAGTGCAGACCCTGCGAGCGGGTCGGCGCCGGCACAGCGGGTGCGAGCTGTCCGGCAGCCTTGTTCTGAGCCCCCACCCGCTCAACACACGTGCCAAGGCAGGATCTCGTTTGCTCTTCCCTCTGCAATAAACCTGATGTTCGTTGACAGATTCTTTTATCTGCCACTTTATGGCAGAAGGCATTTTCCACTGTGCTTGCTTTCACATTTAGAGAATAATTCTATTAGCGTTGTTGACTTTAAAAACATGCCAGTATGTGTGGAATTCATAAAAATAAAATAGAGACAGGAACAATAAATACCTAAGGAAAGGGGCAGCTCCCGCTGGCTGAAATAATCACAGCCCCAGCTTTGACACTGCATTTAGGCTGTGCTTTTGCAAGTGCTTTACAAACCAAATTCAATTAGTTCCTGCAGCGTCGCCAGGAAGAAGAGAGGGAGGTAATAAGCCTTCCTGGTTTCAAGTGGAGTTGCAAAGAAATGTGTTGAGTTGGCCAAGATCCTGCTGCCAGAAATAGAGCTCAGCCCTCCTGAATGTGTGCCCTCACCCTTCATCTGTGCAGCCCTGCTCCTGGTCCCGTGTTACACCCCTGTCCCCCAGCTACAGGGCACCGGCATCCTCCAAAATCACCCGCAGCCCCCAGGGGTGATGCTGTGTCTGCGGAGACATGTCCAGAGAGGCCGGGCACAGGAGTACCCGCCAGCAAGAGCTGCTTGAGTGCTCCTGAAGTTCAGCCAGGTCTGGGGTTGTTTACGTAAACCCTGATTCATCCGACCAGGAGGATCCACTGGACTTGAACCGCTGGGGAAAAGCAAACAAGTGAGTCAGGCTCAGCGTAAGTGGTGAGGGTGGCCCTGTCCCCCTCCGCTCTGTGTGGCCGGTGGCTCCCGTATCCCCCGGGCCAGGGAAGAGGCAGGCGTTAGTGGCCCGTATCGGGCACTTCTGCTCCATCCTCTCTGCTGGCGGAGGCTCTCCCTGCCAGGAGTACACCGGGCTGAGGCTGCACGGCTCCAAGCCTTGCATGACGCAGCAGGGAGCGAGGCCAGCTCTCTCTGCTAGCTGGGGCATGACGGGCGCTCGGGCAGAGCTGAGTCAGGGTGGGAAGATGCCGAGACCATGTGCTGGTGCAGCCGGGCTGGCTCGGGACCTCTGTGCCACAGAGGCATGGCCCAGCTGGAGCCCCACGGAGCATCCATCCTTGGACCGATAGCGGCTTCTCAGCTCCGTGCAAGCCCCCACGCGTCCAAGTCAGCAAACTCTTAATGGAGAGTGCTGTTCAGCGTGGTTTCTTACCCAGCCGTGGGGAAGATGAGGGGTCTGCAGGTCTCTGAGGATCTCACGTGGGATGTTCTCTTGCTCAGGACTCACTTGGGACTGGTACTTCCAATGTCCTCCTGCATGCAGGGTTTTAGTGATGTGCTGGTGCTGCGGGAGGAGCAGGGTCCCCCAGCGGTGATAGCACTTCTGACTGCAGGTAGCAAAGGGCTGCACTGCTTTGGCAAGAAGGGGGCATCCAGCTTCTCGCAGTTGATACCTGAGCTCAAGAGAAGTTTTGAGAGAGCCTTTGACACCCAAGCACTTCTAAAACTTACTGGAACGGCATTTGACCCTTCCCTTTTGGGTTTTCCTACAGCAATGAGGGCTGAACCAGGCAGGGCACAGAGACTGCATCGGGGCTGCCCGTTAGATTCCTCTTTAACAGCACATTTAAGCTTTGGAGGGGCTGCAAAGCACTTTGTCTCTTAAGTGTGGGCTAAACGGTGCGGTGGGAGCCGCGTGAGTCACCCTTCTGCAACAAGCCTTTCTGTGCCGCCCCATCTCCCGCACGGCAGCACCGACCCCAGCCTGTGCAGCGGCTGGATGCGGCCCCTCGCCCCGGCAACCTTCTCCCCTGCGGAGCAATCCTCCCAGCACCCCGTCTCGGCACCGTGCCCTCGCAGGGATTCGGGCATCAGTTCAGCGCCATCCGCCTCGCCATTTGCCCTGTTTCCTGACGAACGTAGTAACGAGGGCTTGGCCTCCCAGAGGCCGAGGGCACCGAGAGGCGGGTCTGCCTGTCTGAGCCCATCTGTCTCGCACCCGAGCGCGGTTCCTTCCAGCACTGACCGAGATTTCAAGTAAATCTGGCTTGACCGAAGTTTGTTACTGGGCTATGGCAAAGCCGGCGGCTCTCTGGAGAGAAGCGGAGATGGTGCTTCAGCCCAGGTTGGGCTCCGGGGACCGTGGGGGACCTTGCGGAGTCCATCAAATAGCTTTTGGCTGCTGCAATCCAAAGCGTCTACCCTGTGCAGTGAGGTGGTTACGCTGACCTCCAGCAAAAAATAACCCAAATTAGATGCCAAAGTCCCCCAGCCTGACAAGGGGCTGATTCCTGACTTGAGGGCTTAATGGAGGCACAGGAGATGCCCAGGCTGATGCTGTGCAAACCGATGCACGGTCCTTTCCCTTAGCACCTGCCTGAATATGAAAATATTGCAGGTCCTCTCTGGTGGTCATGTTCATTTAACTGTGTGGGTTTAGAGGCAGAGTTTACATCAGAAAAGCTTGTGTCCTGGGGGAGCTGCCTGCTCCCCCCAGCTGCTGTGTGCTCTTGCTTGCAGGGAGCCTGCCCGGAGGGTCCTGCAGCCCCACTGGTGCCAGGCTCAGATAAGCCCCTGCCAGCCCCGTGCACCCAGGGCTGTGTGCGAACCTCCCCGGTGCCAGCACCGTTTGGGGAGCGAGGTGTTCAGCCCAAAGGCGAGGGCGGGCAGGGTATAATGAAGCATTTTGACACATAAGAAAGCACAGAAATGGGCTGTGGCGGGGGGTGATGTGTTCTTTCTACCAGAACGATCTCAGAGATGCATTGCCAAGTAACTGTGAGAACATATAGTATGAATACCAGGCAATTATCTCACTTAGTTGCCTGTAGTTAAAGCCCAAAAGCATTGTCTAATTGGGCAGGCGCTGTTTATCCTTAGAAATAAATGTTTTTGCACCATGTGAGGTCAAAGAAACTACACTGTGATCCAGGTAGTAATAATAACCTTGAATAGTTTGCACTCCTGTAATGCCTTTTATCTGGATTTCCGAGCACTTTCTCACCATACATTAATCCTCACCACCCTCCGTGCTATAAGAAAGACTGATATTATGATCGGTGCACAATAGCACTGGGAGGGACGGAGGAGACTTGCCCAAGGTCAGGGAACAGGCTGGCAGCAGGGCTGGGAACGCGACCCAGAGCTGTGGCAGCTCCCTGAGCTGATGGACCGGCACTGCTCCTCGCTGATTGATGCTGCGTCTTGTACAGTGGGCACGGAGCAAAATCCTTGCTGGGCTTCGTGGTCTCGCAAGTAAGACCAGCAGAAATCAAGGCTCGGCATCCCAGCCCTTTCTCCCTCCCCGAAATGCCGCTCACAAGTTGCACAACATCTCCTTGCTTGTCATTTCTTTTCTAGGCTCCTTTCAGGAGGGTGGAAGGATTACTCCGAGGTAGATAGGAAGCTGGTTGGATGCTGACAGTTCTGAAAGCTTTCCTCATTACAGATGACAATCACCTATTATCATCATCATCATCATGCCGATAATTGAGTGTTTTGTAGGCAGAGGTGCTATTTTCTGAAATTCTGAGAAATTCTCTGAGCTGTGAGATAAGGGTGACACTGAATGAGGACATTTGGTGGTGGCGGTCGTGATTATAACATCTCGAAACACCGTTACAGTGCGCTGGGCTTATTTCCCCATTAAATGGATTTGATCCTATGCAATTGCTTCCTTGTCAAGTGGCATCAGACAGGCAGTTTTCAAATGAGAAAGCCAGAATCAGCCAGTTGGGACCTCCAGAGCTGCCTCCCGGTGAGGGACGTGCCTGCCATAGCCCCACTGCAATGCACAAACCTTCCTCATGGGCAAAGAGCCATTCCTGGAAAAGCTGATAGACACAGAGTAAACAGCCAACCTATTTGTTGCTCTTTTCTCAGCCTGGAAGTCAGCAGCAAAATCCCTCGTTTGCCTTCGCTCTGCATCCCCGGCAGGGATGCCCCGTGGCATGGGGGAAGGTAGCAGCGTGCCAAAGCCCTCCGCGACTCCCAGCTTCGTGGAGCCTAACGAGAAACCCTCTGTTTGCTCTGCAGGTGATTACTTCGGCATCCTGATGGAGGCAAAAGTGACCAGCTTCCCCTTCAGCGTCCTGGATAATCCCATGTACTGGGGCAGCACAGCCGTCTACCTGGGCTGGTCCCTCATGTGAGTACGTGCCCCTGCCCAACACCACAGGTCGTAGGGCGAGTGTGGGGTCTGTGCTTGGCAAGGGCATAAGGTGCCGGGCTGTATCAGAGGACAAAGAAACACTTGGTGATGGCAATCAGCCATAAAATGGCAGGGAAAGTGCAACATGCCCATGACTTCTCGCTTCCTGACTATTTTTGTGCCTGCAAAGTCTTCTGCTCTCATAAAAGACTTGTAGCATTAATTGTAGAAAAATAAATAACGGCCAAGTGCTGGGGAGAGGAAGCATCAGCAAATGCTCTGAGGCTGAATGAGGTCCTTGGCAGGCTCTGCACGTGGAAAAATCAACAGTTGGGGCCAAATTCATGCCGGGTGTCACTCGGCAGGGGCAGGGCACTGATACTGGGGATCAGTGTGACCCTGCAATTACCTCTGAAAAAAGCAAAACAAGCCAACACACCCTTTCCCCCACTGCACAGTGATAACACTTCCGAAACACTCCTCATGTGAAACAACACGGCTTAATAGCCTGCTTAGGAGGAAGTTAATAGGCCGTAATTTAGCAGCAAATGAGCAATATACTCTATTCTGTGTAACAAGTTTTATGTGGTTTTCATTTAATATCACATCTTATTTATTTGCCCAGGAGAAAAAACCCTGGCTGTGTTACATCAGCAGCCCGTAGAGCATTGCGGGCCTTTATCACTACGTATTTTGCACTGGTGCTCCTGCGTGTGACCTCTTCTACTTCGGTGGAAAAAATGAAGTGCTTTGTCACTTTCTGGTCACCTTTTCAGCCACGTGTGCAGCGCTTTCTGGCCCCTGGTGATAAGTAAAGCTGATGTTTTCTCTCCTGTCTCCACGGAGCCTTGCTGCTGTTCGTTCTGCACTTGAAATCCCCGCCCTCCCCAGTGCCGTCAGGGCTGGCTGCACGAGGCCATTTGGCCTCCTGGCAGACCCATGGCACTGGATTGGGTCCAAACCCTGGGAAATGGTGCGCAAGAGCTGGGGCGAGCTCGCTGCTGGGGCTGTGGCAGTGCCAGGCAGGAGAACCAGCCGCGGGGTCGGCAGCGGCGCGACGGCGGCGTGGATATTGCTGAGGGGAGTGGGGCAGAGCTGGGGCAGGATGACCCCCCCCCATACCGCACCCCGGCCGGAGAGCGACTGGCACCACCACCCTCACAACAGCACAAAATGAGGAATTTGACCAGGAGGAATTACAAGAAGATTTTTATTTGTTTAAGATCAGCATTGAACTGTTTCCTGGAACCTTTGCAGAACAGCTAAACCCTCCTGAGCTGTTTCTGTTGCAGAAATCCCTTCTTCGCCCCCACGAGAGAGCAGCCTCGCAACGGGTGCACGTTACTTGGTGTTCCACCGCAATCCTGGGCAAAAGCAGCTCGAAGCGGCTCGAGACAACAGTGTGATTGCCTCCTTTGTCTCGTTAAAAGGCTGCCACCATAAAGGGCAGCAAGGCATGACAAATAATTGCTGTTAACAAATTGCTGGAGCTGTGCAAAGTGGCACCAGGACACTGCCCGCCTGCCCTGGGGAAGCCCTGCACAACCTTTCTTGCGGTGGTTTTGACTGTTTCTCTTCCCTGGGATCTCAGCTTGGATTGTTGAGGTTTTGGGGGGGGTCCCAGGTCTCTTCTGAGGTCCCAGGGCTTTCAGAAGATGTTAGGTGTCTGCCCTCGGAGGCCAGAGCTAATGTCCCGGCTGTATGGCAGTGGGAGGGATGCCGGAGGAATGTGTTTGCCATCTGGTTTTTGGACAGACTTAAAATGTAAAGCATATTTTGTCCTCCCTCGGTGATGTATCACGCTCCATATCGTGGCATTGGAGCCCAGAGGATTGATTAATTTTCATCTGTAAGGGTACATACCACGTAACGTAAGCGAGCCTGGCAGTGCACCAGCCAGCCTGCCTTCTGACTCCAGTCCAACCTTAAAAGCATCGCGTGGGGCGAGAGCCGCTGTTTTCTCCCTTGCAGGACATTGCAGCTATCCCCAGCTCGACTAATGGCAGCTCTGCAGCCAAAAATGTGTCCGCCAAATACACTGGAGAAGGCACCTGCGCCGGTCACCGTGAAAACAGGAGCTTCAGGAGGAAAGAGCAAAGCGGGTGTCCCATGTCCAACACCCGGGACCAGTGAGGCCGGCGGGGAAGGATGCGAGCCCGCGCTATTGCTCTTGCAGGCAACCCACAGCCACGGGGAACTGCAGGAAGGGTTGGGGACGGACAGACTTCCTACCCAAAAAAAGTCCTACCAAGACCATGAAACCATCCTGGCTGTCTCTTTGTCGACCCTGCTACAACACGAGCCGTTGCCCAATAAGTAGGTCGAGCTCGTAGGAGGAGAGGAACAACTCGCCCCAGTGCTTCTCATCGCCCGCGTCGGGCAGCCTCGTTTCTCCCAAAAGACAAATGGAGCATTAGCTGTTTGGGGACAGCTTTGTGTATCTCTGGTAGGGAAGTGTTTTAACTCATGGCAACAGGCTGTGTAAATCAGAGCTGGAGCCGCAGCCAAATGATGCAATTAGAGGTCTTGCTGTCAACAAACAATCATGCAAATTTGTTCTCTCTGATATGAATCAAGGAGGAGACATGACTAAGCATGTAATAGCAGCGGGTTTGGAGAGGAAGAAGTTGCCCAACGCTTCCTAATGAGGGAAAAACTTATTGCAAAATGGAAACAGTGAAAAGGTGAAGATTTGTGCGCGTCTCTCCAGGAACTAATGTGGCCAGGCAGTACCTGACGACAACGCCAACGCTTCCTAATGAGGGAAAAACTTATTGCAAAATGGAGAAAAGGTAAAGGTGAAGATTTGTGCGCGTCTCTCCAGGAACTGATGTGGCCAGGCAGTACCTGACAGCAGGTCCAGTACGAGGTTTAGGTAGTTTGGTCTCTCCTCTGAAGGCATGTTTTCCTGACAGGACTAGTCCCCTTGCACAAGGCTTGCAGGATGTTTATCCTCACCAAGGACCAGCTAAGTACTTTTTTTTGCTGACAGCCAGCTCTTGTCCCCCTCAGAGCTGAGCTGCAACTAGCAATTAAAGGCAATCAGCAGTGTCCTAATTAAGGGCAACACTTGCAGCCATTAGTTGGAGGTGTAGGATGCAGAAGGGGTGTTCGGGGGGCGGGGGCTGGTGCCTGTGGTGAGCCAGACGCAGCCACGCTCCTCGCTGGGGAGATGGGGCCAGGACCTCGTGGGTGCTGGGTTAGCAAGCGGGGAATGGCTGCTGGTGTGGCCACTCTCACCCGGGAGAATTTGCACGCCCCGGGATGGTCTCAGCACCTGGTTTGGGGACTGTAACCCGCCTGCTGAAATCCTGGTGCCTTAGCAAAGCCCCCGCTGCCTGGGGGGGGGGCTGGCGTCTGCCTCAGACACTTTCAGGCCAAGCATCAAAGAAGTGCCCCTTTGTGGGTGGTGCAGGTTTGCTGCCTACGTTGACATCTCTCTTTAGAGCAGGAGGTGATGGGGATTTTTTGGTCTCGATTCTTTGGCCTCGGTGCTAAAAGGAACAGCCGCTCCCGTCGCATACGCAGCCCTCGAGCACCTCTGCCCATAAGCAGACGGTGCGGTGGGTGGCATAGGTCCCCCCTGCTGTGCCTGGTGCACTCTTGGTGAAGGACAC